AAAGGAGGTCTGATCCATGGCACAGGCTGATCCATGGCTCAAATCCCACCCCCTGCTCCCTTTCCTTCCTCACACACCGTCCCTGATGTGATGGGGCAGAAGCTACAAGTGCAGAGAGCCCTGAGCAGCCCAGGCATCCTCAGTGAATTAACCAGGAGGGCTCTGAGCCCTTGTCTGGCTCGATGCTTTTGCAGCATCAAAAGGCAGGACAGAGGGAAAAATAAAAAAAAAAAATCTCTGTTCTGCCACTGTGAAAGAGTCACTCACAGCACAGCTCTCTGGGTGGCACTGCAGGAGAGAAAATTGGCTGTGGAGGGGGTTGTCCAAGCAGAAACAGCAAAATAAGCCTTTCTCTGCTTCCTCCATGCAAAGGGTTAGGTTAGGACAGTCCTCCTGGCCGGTTTATCTATTCAGTTTGATTTATTTTTTCCCTTTTTTTAATCCAGCACAGCTTTTCAGGCAGAACTTGATTTGTTATTTGTTTTCAAGCAGAAAAAGAGCCATACCCCAACAATCATGGAATAGCCTGTGGGCAGGGACCCTCAAGGATCATCCAGTCCAACTCCTGGCCCTGCACAGGACACCCCAACAATCCCACCCTGTGCCTGAGAGCGTTGTCCAAACCCTCCTGGAGCTCTGGCAGCCTTGGTGATGTGCCCACTGCCCTGGGGAGCCTGGTCAGGGCCCAACCATCCTCTGGGGGAAGAACCTTTTCCTGAGATCCAACTTAAACCTCCCCTGACACAGCTCCAGCTGTTCCCTGGGGTCCTGTCCCTGCTCATCCAGAGCAGAGATCAGAGCTGCCCCTTGGCAGGAGCTGCAGCCCCCTGAGCTCTGCCCTCAGTCTCCTCTTTTCCAGGCTGAACAAGCCAAGTGCCCTCAGCCACTCCTCATATGACCCCTCCAGACCCTTCACCATCTTCACAGCCTCCTTTGGACACTCCCTAACAGCTTTATATCTTTCTTATTTTGTGGCTGCCAAGACGCTCCAGGTTAGAGGTGAAGCTTCACATCAGGACGTGCCACCACGTAGCTCCAGCTGCTGGAGCCTCCAAGGGCTTGCATGTTCCTCCCTGAGATCCCACTGCTTCCCTCCCCAGCCTCCCAGTGCCCTGGTGAGCTGTGAGGCCCCCTCTGCCTTACCCTGAAGAGTTGAAACCAGAAGAGTTCATGGCAGCTTTGGAGTTGCTCTGGGCTGTGCCGGGGCTGCTGGCATGGAGGGCACTGCCAGGGGACGAGGGCCTGCTGGAGTTCCCTGGGGAACACGATGATGTTACTGTGTGTGAGAAAGCACAATAAGACTGGGCTCTCCTCCTCCTGCCCAGGACAGCCCAAGCCCAGACATTCCCACCATATCCTGTCCCCATCCTGTTGTCCCTCTGATTCTCTGCCTGCCCTGCAGGGGCTGTGCCCCAGCCATGGGGAAAGTGGGGGACCCCAGGACTGCTCCCTGGGGCCCTTGGTTTCTACTCCTATTCCTGTTTCTATTCCTACTCCTATTCCTATTCCTACTCCTATTCCTATTCCTACTCCTATTCCTACTCCTATTCCTACTCCTATTCCTATTTCTACTCCTATTCCTATTCCTACTCCTATTCCTATTTCTACTCCTATTCCTATTCCTACTCCTATTCCTATTCCTACTCCTATTCCTATTTCTACTCCTATTCCTATTTCTACTCCTATTCCTATTTCTACTCCTATTCCTATTTCTACTCCTATTCCTATTTCTACTCCTATTCCTATTCCTACTCCTATTTTTCCTCCTATTCCTATTTCTCACTTCTCAAAGGAGATCTGACACTCTGACCCACCCCCAGGCACTCCCCTTTGCTTGGCTCCTATGTGTGTCTGACTCCCAAACCTAAGCACCCCACTAAAATTTGCCCAGGCTTATCCTGGGAATGTCTTTATCCCAGCCAGGAGAAAGCCTCAGCTGTTCTTGTCCCGGGCACACCAGTTATATGGGGACACTTTCCCTGGCCAAACCCAAGGGTCTTATGAAGAGTGTCCTGCAAATGTGACCCCGAAATCAAGCAGTCAGGGAGCAAGGGCAGAGGGAGGAGGGCAGGAAGGCGGAGTGGGACAGGATTCCCAAGGCTTACCAGTCCCAGGCATGGTGCTGTGCACTGGATTGACAGAGAGGGGCCCCAAGGACCCTGAGGTAGAGACCTGGGGAGAGACAGAAGCAAACAGTGTTTGGCACTGAGTGTATAAATCCCATAATGCCACTCCTTTCACATTCCCTTTGGAGTGTGCTGGCTCCCAGGCACACTTATCACTGACATCACGGATATTTCTATTCCCACTCTGGTGCAGAAGCACCATTCCCATACCCAGGGCCACAAAAAGAAACCAGAATTAGCTTTACACATCGCTGGCACCTTCTACATCCATCTGAACTCATGAACCAGCATTGGAAAAGCCTGAAATGATCCAAAGCAAGCCAAGATCCCGTTGCAGGAGCCACTGCCCTCTGGATGTTCTGTCTGACACTTCCCAACTCCCTCTGGTCCTGGGCACAAATAATCCCGTGTCCTTGAGGGAGCTGTGGATGGGTGGGAATTCTCAGGAATTTGGGAGCTGCAATCCCAGCCGGCCTGGGGCATTTGTTGTTCAGTTGGATACTGGAGGCAGCTCAGGGTGGCTGATGAGCAAGGGGCTCATCCCAGGGAAACAGGGAGATTATTCACCCGAGCTGCAGCTTTGAGAATCCACGGCTTGCAAGCAGCGCTTTGTGCGTGTGAGCTCGGCCCCAACGTGTTGTGCAACAAGTGGCCAAACTCCTTGGGATGTTTTCCTGCCTTCCGAGGGATAATTCCAAAGCCCAGAAGATTTCAAGATAAAAAGTGTCGCCGGTGAACACAGACTCTCCCTCCCACTCACAGCACTCGCAGCGCTGTAGGGAGGTTCCTGCCACCTTTAAATGTCAAAGCAACCAAGCAACCACTGAATTAACCAGCAGAAATGCAACAGTAGCTCGTTATCCACTGACAGTGGATTACAAGGACACAGCTTTCAACAGCTCTCACAACATTTTCCTCGTCTTTTCCCCATCCTCCCTGGCAGTGGAAATACACTTGCCAGAATGTGACTGTACCACACGAGAGAAGGACAATCAGCACTAATTAAGTGTATTCCGTGTTCCTGCACAGATGTAAAACAACAGACTGATGTATAAACAGTTACCACTGTGCTTCAGAGTTAACAACTAAATTGATAGGAGTGGATGTAATTCCCAAACTCTGGAATGCTGATATCTCCTCCATTAACTTTGGAAAGGTTTTCCTTACCGGTCTCGTGGGGGAAGGCTTTGGGATAGCATTCCTATTTAAATAAATGATCCTACAATTAGACTAAACTGTTCCTTCTGGGAAACTTGCATTTTCTTTCTACTGTTTTCAATAATAGAATAAAAAAAATAAATGTTCTGACTGAGATTCCACTTGAGTTGGGATGTTGATTACACGCCCGGTCCATGGCTATCCCAGGACACTGCTGCAGGTGCAGCTTCCCACTGGACTGTGGGATCAGGGAATACAAGGAAATGTCCTTTTCCTGCAGACCCTTCTGCCTCCCCACACCCCACAGAAGTCCTGAATCCCCAGTGTCTCACCAGTCTGGAGTTGTAGATGGGTGATTTGATGGGGGATGGCATCGGGCAGCTGATCCGCTTCTCCTTCTGGCGCCGGTTGCAGAACCAGACCCGAACCACCTCCTTTTCCATGGAGAGCTGCTCTGCTATCAAGGATATCTCCTCTGAACTGGGCTTGGGGTTCTGCTGAGAGAGGCAGGAGGTCAAAGCAAGCCCCAGAGAGCTGCACCCTAAAGCATCAGTGTCTGGTGCTGGCAGGGCAAGGGTGGGGCTGGCTGCGAACTGGGGAGGGGAGAAAACCTGCTCCTAAGACAAAGGGTAAATATTTGAGTGAGAGATCATGTTCTGTGAACCAGATTCCACAGCAAGTCTCAAGGAATCAGTGTGGGATGAGTCACCTGTCCCTGCTACTGCACCAAGCCCCACACTCTTCAAACAGCCCCTAAACCACTGCTGGGGGGCACCTGGAGCCTGGTGGTCTTGTCAGCCACCTCTCAGGTTGTGCACCCGCCTGCACCACCTCAGAAAAGCCACTGCCTCCCTTCCCTCCTCCAGCCCTCCTTTACAAAGGGAAATAACAGCAGCTCGTTTGTTTCCTGGTGCGTTTTGACAGCAGTTTTAGCTCTGCGGGGGTTTGATCCGAGTTGGAGACTTGAGGGTCAAAAAACCCCCGGCTCAGAGGTGCCAAGTTCCCATTTCAAAGGACGCCTTCTACCAGCTGAAAATGAGGTGCCAAAATGATCTGAGGGTGGCTGAGCAAATTTTGATATGAGGGAGAAGCCAAAAAAAAAAAAACCACCAAAACCACAAGGGCTGATCAGAAACAGTTTTGATGAGAAATTTTCAATGCACAATTTAGTCCTGCTGATTAAAGCTCTGTTTGCTTTCTGTAGTGATTTTTCCTTGGAATTCTTGATGCTGAAAAAGCAGAAGGCTCCCCTTCTGGATGGTTTCAGCAGCAATATTTGGAGCAACCGTGGTCTTACAACAGCTGCCTAATGGGGCATCGTGGCCCCCGAGCTCCTGTGACACAAACCTGCAGCTCAAAAAGAGAAGAGGTGGGTGCAGGAGATCAGCTTTGGCTCAGTGGGTGATAGTGGGGAAAACGTGGTGACAAAATTGTAATTCCCTTAAAACAACATTTCCCAAGGAGATAACGGGGAATTTCTTTGGTTTTAACACTTTCCCTGTTTTAACCCCTTCGGGCATTTTCTAACCTGCTTTCACAACAAACCAAAAGAGATGCCTTTTTTTTTTTTTTTTTTAAGAGGATTTGGTGCTACCACGACCTAGAAAACACTGAACTCAGAGAGAGTTCACAACACACGGGAAGATTTCACCCTCACATCTTGGAATCTCTTCTCCAGCGTGGAGCGAATGTTGGTCTCGATGCTGGTTCTCTTCTTCCTTTTCCGTCCAAACATCTCGTTCACTGAGGGGTAGGAATTGGGGGTGCTCATGGAAGAATCCAAAGGAGCAGATTCTGAGGAAAGAGGGAGAGAAAAAAAGAGATATTCAAGGAGATGATGAGTTATTTTCCTCCCTAGATCCTTTCTGTGCACTGAGGCACCTCCTAAAGCACATAAAGTTTTCCTGCAGTGTAGATCCTTCCTCTGATGAGGATCAAAATTGCTCCAAGGGCCCCAAATCCATCAACGAGCTTGTCCAAATCAGGGAAGAAAGAGGAGTGCTAATATTTTAATCCACACACTGCTTTTCCTTTGTGCAGCCTGATTTCCAGCCTGCCCTGATGGGGGATTTTCCAGTGGTTTAATTTCACACAGTTAAAGATGTTGGCTAAACCACTGGCATAAACCAGTCAAGATCAGTCTGCAGAGGACACCAGCCCAGTTCTGTTGCCACTGGGGATTCCCCTGTCAGTGATATCTCCCTTTTCTAATCCCAGCTCATGGGCTGATCTCTGAGTACCTTGATTTCCTTCCCATTCTTTCCAGTTTACACAGGGTTGAACCGATTAACCTTTTCCCGGAGATCCCTGGATGAATTCTCTCACCCTGGTGGCGTTTCTGCCCCTCATGTCACCCACCTGCATCACTCAGCCACTTCTCCAGCAAGGGTTTGAGCTTGCACATGTTCTTGAAGCTGAGGTTGAGGGCCTCGAAGCGGGAGATGGTGGTCTGGCTGAAGTCGTTGCCGTAGAGCTTCCCCATGGCCAGTCCAACATCCCCCTGCCAGGGAAGACCCAAAGCACACCATGAGCTCGGGAAAGCCCCTGGCAGGTCCCTGCTGTCACACCCCCTCCGGGCTCAGCCTTGTTTCCATGACCCACCTTTCCTGAGAAAACAGCTTCCTTTCCCCACAGGGATCTGCCCCACGCCCCACTTATTGGAGGAGGTGCAGATCAGGAGGTAATCAAAGTTTTAGGAAGGGTTTGTCTCTTGGTGTGTTTGGAAGGGGACGCTGCAAAATGAGCCAAACTGTGTCTAACCCAGCCCTTCCACCAGCACCCCCCCAGCCCAACCTGGCCCCACCAGCAGCCACCCCACCCGGGAGGGTTCACCTGTGTGAACCCCAGCTTGATCCGCCTTTGTTTGAAGGTCTTGGCAAACTTTTCCAGCTCCTCCAGGTCACTTGGCTCCTCTGATGCCCCCGAGGGGGTCAGGTGCTTTGCCACTTGCAAATGCTGGGGGACATCCAGGTGGGGTTCAACCGACGAGCCAGGGAGCCCAGAACGACCCACAGCCTGCAAAAACAACCCCCAAAAAAGGGATGTTCAGAGGCACAACGACAGGAAAACCCCCAATTTTCTCTCCACGAAGCAGCACCCTGTGGGTGGGGGTTACCTGTGATGCCAGGCTGGGCCCTGGCTGGGAGAGGAGGAGGCTGCCCTGCTGCTGAGGGAAGGAGAGGAGGTTTGGCTGCAAAGCTGAGGAGAGAAAAAGGAGACACGTCTGGTCAGAGCAGCTCCTTCATCAGCTCAACATCCCTGCCCAGGAAAGGCTCGTGGAGCTCTGGGTGTTCAGCTCCATTAATTAGTTCTTGCTCAAAATACAGGAATTTCAGCCATTACCAAAGTGTTCTGACTCTGAGCTGGATTAGGAGAAAGAAAAGGTTCTTCTCGTGGCTCTTCAGCCTGAAAGGGATTATTACAATAATTATATAAGTAAAATATCTCATCTACTGATCCCTGTGTGGAGCTCATTACCCTAAGGCTGAACCAGAGCTTTTTATAGAACTCTGACTTTGATTTTAGGTGCCAAGCAGCAGAGAAGTCACTCCATCCTTCATGGGGATCTCTCCCAGTGCTTAATCATTGCAACTGTTAGAAAAATGTACATCTTATTTCCAACATAAGCTCTTCTGACTCCCAACTTTCAGCCACTTGATCTTGCTAAAAAAAAACCCCTGATCCTACAGTTAATCTCATGAGCCCTCCCACTCTGCTTTCTATTACACATTTCATTTTCAAGTGTCATTTTGAAGCCCTCTGACCCTTTCTTTTCTACCCTACTGTATTTCATATAAATTGAATTTCTTTCAGAATATATGAACTGGCACAAAAATGATGAAAGGGAAAAAGGAAGGGAAATCTATAAACCCAACAAAAACTAGTATTTATGGAGCCTGTGTAATTGTTTAGCTGACAAACTGCCAAGTACAAGCCCATATCTCTTACAGGGAATGTCCTACAGGACTAAGTTGTGTAGTTCCCTAGAAATTTAGTTTGGATCAAGTCCATTGTGAGTGAAACCTATGGAATGTAGTGAGGATTTATCACCTCTCTTGAAAGACTCAATATATTTAATTGATTTTAACTGACAATTACAGGGAAATCCAGAGAAATTTATGGACTTCTGTTAATAAATAGGAAAACAGATAATCTCCAGAATCAATCTCTCCCCCTTTCTCTTTTTCTGCCTTTTCTTGTTTAATTTAGCTCTGATGTGCACTGTCCCCTTTATTTATTTAGGTTGGGGTTTCAATGAGCCTTCCCTAACTGCTGGAACAACTTTGAATTTCAAATGCAGGCTGGTAATGAGGTGCACATTTTTAACAGAGCAGGTAATTAATCACAGGAATGGCTTGCCTAGGGACATGGCAGATGCTCTGTCATTTGGAGTCTTTAAAATCATGATTGAACACCTCGGTGAAAGCTGAGCTGGAGCTCAAATGAAAATTATGGGCTGGATTCAGGAATCACCGGTCTGACAGCTGAGGAGATTGAGGCTCTTTGCACAAGATGAAGACTTCAGCAGCAATATTTTGACTGACAGCATTCCCAGCATCTCCCTGGCTGCTCATTCCCACCTTCAGAGCACAGAGCTCACAGGGCTGCACAGGGAATCACGTCAGGGCACGAGGAACCACAGCTGGGAATTTCTCTGGCTTAAAACCGGCTTTGAAACAGAAAACCTGCACTGAAATCCTTGGAAAGGCTGAGCCCCTTTGGCCATAAAATCCATGGATTGAGGTGTCCATCAGTCAGAACTCAGGAAACACTGAGGGTGTTCCCCTGATGGCTCCAGGGACAACTTCAGGAATATTTTGTGCATCTCTTCAGCAGGAAGAAAACTCCTCCTGTGTCTGTACCAAAGAACTAATTCCACAAAACCAAGCTGTGCCTTCCCTTTCACTCCCCAGTGGCTGTGCATGGACACAGCAAAGGATCATTAAAACCTGGCAATCACTTATGCAAATGCAAGTGCTCCTGCACAAAAATCCAGCTCCTGGCCAAAAAAATCCAGTCTTGAGCAAGTCTGGAACTGGAAGGAGTCACAGCCAAACAAGTGGTCGTCTGTGGGGGGTTAAAGCTGCCAAAAAAGTCACTCAACAGAAGAAATTCTAACCTATAAAAGGCAGCAAGTTCTGCTTTGAAGTATAATATATTTATTATACCCAAATAAAAGCAGGCAACAAGCAACAGATTGTCCTGACCCTATTTCAAACAAACTATATTCAAGATTATTAGTAAATACACATCAAATAGTTCCTTTATACATCACTCAGCATCACTTGGCAGAGAGAAGAGTTTATGTGCTGCCAATAAGAAATAAAATTCCCATTTGCCTACACCCAGGGTATGTACCAGTGGATTTGAGCTGCAGAGATTTAAGGGTTTCATTCTGAATTTTGGTTCAGACAGAGCGAGCTCTGCGCTGGACTAAATCAAAAATACAAGCCAAGGACCTAAATCACTTTGTGTCTGCGGGGTGATGGATCAAAGCCCACAAGCAGCAGCAAAGATCCTCCCTGGCACGTCTGCATCCCTGGAGAAACGCCATAAAAAATATCAGGGGTAAAACCAGGACCACAGGGACTTTCTCCAGTGCTGGGTCCAGCCCTCAGTCCTTTCCCGGAGCCGTGTTCCAGCAGCAGTTGGATCTCTCCTGCCCCACGGCAGCTCCAGAGCTCCCTCTCTCCTCCCCAGGTTGCTCGTGGCGGGGTCAGACCTGCTCGTTCTCCTGCCAGCGCTGCCCTGCAGCTCCTTCCCGGGATTTACCTCCCTCCAAGGTCCTTCCCGAGATCAGCTCAACCTCTGCTCGGTTTTCTGGGAGAACCCAAGAGCGGGAGGGAGCCCAGGCAGGCTGGGATTGCTCCCCAGGGAGCAGCTCCTTGCTGCGTTGCTGGAACCCGGCCGCTGTCCCGAATTCCCGGTGGGAATTCAGCCTGGCCCCAAGGTGGCACTCTTGGAGCGCACAAGGCGCGGGTGCCAGGAGCATCTCCAGGCCTGGACCCTTCCACGTGGATCTGGGATCATCCCCGGCGTGGGAACAGCCCGGGATGGGTGGGAAGCATCGGGTACCACGGGGGAACAGGCTGGGAAAACCCAGCGGGCTGGTTAAAAGCAACACCCCTTGGGAAGAGAGGTTTTTCCTAGATATTTATCTGCTTATAACGATACCCATTTGGGCTTTTATGGCTCTTACCTTGTTGTCCTGCCTGAGACTGGGACAGAAGGAATTGGGGAACTGACTGCATGTGCCCAGGAAGCAACACCAGCTGCTGCAGGGTGTGGAGGGAGCTCATATCCTATGGGAAAAAAAGCAAAAGGAACAGTAAAACTGGGGAAACATCTCCTCTCCCTGACCCCCTTCACACTTTTCTTTGAACTGCCAACCCACTGGATTTGGGTAATTTGAGAGGCACAGATCCAGAGGTGCTGCAGGATCTGAAGGTTCCAGCTGCATGAGAGGAATTCTGTGCACACACACAGACACCCCCACGGAGAACTCTCTGCTTTTACATGAAAAAAATTCGCTCTTGGAAATGACATTTTTGAGGCAATCAAGCCCTGGTTGTTAGAAGGAGCAGTGAAACCTCCTGGATTTCATCTTCTTCCAGATAATGCATTTTCAGGGAGCGAGCTCCCTAAAAATTACACAGCAAATTGCAGCAGACTGTCCCATCTCACCGACACCCAGAGCTTGCTTTCCACAGCACTGTTTTGAATTTTGAGGGGGAATGAAGAGTCCCTAAATTGTATAATGGATCTGAATAGCCCATGAAAAAATGAGGGAAGAGATTACTGAGCACCTGTGTGGCCTTCTGGCATCCAGCTCCTCCTAGAATTTAACAAGGGTTAAGTGCTAAACTCCAATTTTTTACCCTAGGAAAAAAAAAAATTCCTCTCAAGGAATTAATTTCTTCTGTGGTGTAAATCAATTTGAGGCAACACATTCAAGGCTACTGGTTGAGATTAAGAGTTAATCTCTCCTAGAATGTTATCTGCAACAATGGCATTAACCAGACACTCATGAATGAGGAAGAGCAGAGCAAACATATCTGACACTTCCCCTCGGTGTTGTCTCAGCCTCCAGTTATTTCCAATTCAAGGGATTTCCTGACCATGGTGTGGTTTGCCTGCTTAGTAAACCCTCAGAGGGAATCCCATCCAAGGATGTGTCCAGCCTGCTTTAGAATCCACCTGCAGAGAAGGAAGGCTGAGGAGGAGGCTGAATTTTAGCGACACAGATCCAAAGGGGAGGTGCCAGTGTCCAAGGGGGTCTGGCAAAGGTCTCGTGGGGGATCCCTGGAGCAGCCCAGTCACTCACCCCTGCAATTTGGCTTCCAGGCATCATTGAGGAGCCCTGCACGAGGTGCCCTGACCTAGGGGGGATGGCAGATTGAAGGGAGTCGCTGAGGTCTTCGGTTTTAATCTGAAAAAAAGAGCAAAGCCACTGCAGAATTAGGCTGGAAGGGGTCTAAAAGAGGCTCCTTTGGGGGAAATTTAAGGGCCAGGCCCGGCTGCTTCCATGGCTGACAGGCAGGGTCATTCCCCACTTCATCCCATGGGCAGAGTCCTCCTGCTCTGCCCAGCCAAGGGCAGTTTGCTCAATTAAAACACATCCACTGAAACACTTTAGGAAGCAGCCAAGTGCAAGGTTTAAGGCATTTTGTGGAGTTCTAAGGAAGACAAGAAGCAATTCCCCTTCACAGACCACGACTCACACCCCCCCTGGCAGGGCTGGCCTTGGAGAACCTCTCATTCTGTTCTGCAGAGAACAGCACAAGGGGATGGGAAAGGAAAGGTCACAAAGTGAAAGACCTCAAAAAAAGCACAGTAATCTTTCAGTCTTGAAAATGCAGCACTCCAGGCACCAAATGCATTTGCTTTGCTTCTACCAAAAAAAAAAAACAACCAAGAAGTTTTAAGGGGAAAAAAAAATAAAAATCTGCTTCCTTAGTTACAACAATCTGTGGAAAAAGAAATGGAAAACTGCACAGGAGTCAGCCCTTTGTCCAGTGGTCATTTTGAGCTGCCTGAATGTTCAGGAAAGGTTCTTGTCTACAAGGAAAAAAAAAAAAAATCTCAATTTCTGTGTCGACATTCTTAAGAGATGAATTTGCCCAAGGACCAGCAGCAAATCCTTGTTTCTGGCTTATTCCTCAGTCTCCATGTTAATTTCCAGCATCGCTACTCCATTTAAAAATACAAATTTGTTAAAAAATAATAATAATAACCTGTTACATCACTTTGTACTTGCTGAAATCCTCTGGTAATGCTGACTGGGACAGGAGGGAGGGCAGATTTTAGAGGCTTTTAGGTTCATTCCTGAAAGCTGTGTGAGGAGTGTCTATGCACAGGAGGCAGAGAAGTCCTATAGAACTCTTACAACACTCTTTATCTAAGAAAAGAGTCAAGGAAACTTCAGCTGAAGTTTCTCCCAAGCATTAGGACTCCAGGAACAAGGCTCAGACCGTGAGTCCCATTCAAGTTGCCACAAACTGGGAAAACCAGGAGGACACCAGAGAGGACAGGTTTTGAAACCCCTGTTTGTGGGCTCAGCACTGCAGACTCTCCCTGACTGGTGGGATTAACCCTCTCCATCTCCCACCAAATTACTCCCAAGCCTCTCACCCCCCCAGAGATGGGGAGGGTCACCTCGCAGGGGGCTTTCTCCAACTGATGGGGCCTTCAGGCCGTACAACCTCCCACCAGCAGAGGGGGACAAGAATTTCAGCCTTAAAAACAACATCCCAAGATGTTTTGGCTCAGGGGACGTTCTTCTCCCCATTTGACTGCAGCAAACAAAGACACAGACTCGCTTAGGCTGGAAAAGACCTCCAAGATCATCAAGTCCAACCTCTGACTAAGCTCCACAGGAGAGGAAAATGGGATCACAAGAGGGCTTCAGAGCTCCAGAGCAGGGAGCTGCAACGTTCACCTCTGCATTTTGGAAGGGAAGGTGATTACAACACCCCCCTTTCATTACAGCTGCAGCTCTGGCCACTGCCGAAACTAGTTTTGCAATAAGCCCAGCTCCTTGCAACAAGGGGCAGACACGCTGCGAATTCCAGCTCTTTCCTACCTTTCAGGTTGGCATGATCATCCCTCTTAGCCTGGTGGGGAAAAAAAAAAAGGATGGAAAGATCTTCTTGATCACTATCAAGTGATAGTGTTGTCTAAATCAGTGAAGGATACACAAAAGGTTCAGGAGAACACACCCTGAGCCATCCGGTCATTGCAGGCAAAGCGGATTTACGGATGTTTTTCCTTTCTGAGGGCGCATTAAAAAGAAGCCAAAAAAAAAAAAATTAAAAAAAAAAAGGAAAAAATATAAATAATAATAATAATAATAAAAAATCAATAATTTCGCTTGATATTCATGTGTGTTGCGTCTCACGCCACGCAGTCCTCCAAAAAAAACCAACCAGTCCCCCCCAAAAAAAAACAAACAACCAGTCCCCCAAAAAAAACAACCAGTCCTGCCAAAAAATAAAGTCTTCCAGGTCTTAGAGAAGGAGGCGCCGGGTCCCGCCTGAGTTCCGATTCCGATGGGAGCGGAGTGTTGAAGGAGCACGAGCCATTTCCAAACTGAAATCAATTTTTCCAGCTGCCAAGCGGGACGATCTGGACTCGTTCCAGGGAGAAAGGGGTGTGTAGCTGCACCCCGGCATCGCACAAGATGGGAACGGGAGGTGGGTTTGGCAAACGACCGGTTCCCGATTTAAAAACAACAACATCTCCCACTGCTCCTTCCCCCGTCCCTGGAATTCTCTGGCTCCCTCCTGCGCAGTGGGCGGGAACCTGCGGGTTCTTGACAAATCCTTCTCCCCCCCCCTTGCACCTATTTCCATTGGGTTTAGGCTCAAATTTACCTCTCCCTCCTCTTCCTCTCCCCACCAGGCCTGCAGCTGGCTAATTGTTCGCTAGCAGGAGTTGGGGGCATATCCAAAACTTTTGGGATGGTTTTATGCAAATCCAGCACCTTTTGGTTTTTTTTTTTTTCCCTGGTTAAACCGGCAATATCACCAAAAAAAAAAAAAACACCCAACCCCAAAAACCCCAAAAAACCACACACATTGTGGGCGAGGCCGCTCGATATCATGAGACTCCCGTATAAAATAATGTGAATTTCAAATTAATAAAACGAGGGGAGGAGTCGCCTCCTCCTTTCCCAGTGCGTGAGCCTCGTATTTGGAGAAAACGCCTGCAAATATGGGAAGAGTTTTCATTAAGGAACTGGGAAAAAAAAAATAAATAAAAAGGTTGAAATTATCACAGAAACACCTCATTTGATGAGAACTGTGAAACATTGCAAGTGAGCAACATTGGTTTGGTTAAAACTGGGACTAAATCCCACTGGGATTGCTCAGGACTTTGGTTTTCCATGACCATCATGACAGATGGGAAATGGGGAACAAGAGGTCATTGAGAGCAAGTCTGAGTTCGTTCCCATTGAACTTTACTTGGGGAAATAACAGCATGTAAGGAAAGCAAGCTGCTTTAGAGGAAGGTTCCCTGCCTGTGGATGGGAGATTGGAGTGAGATGACCTTTAAGGCCCCTTCCAACGCAAACCATTCCATGATTCCATGACAAATGAACAGGACCAAGCAATGCCCTGCAAACACACCCTGCCAGGAGGCGAGGAAAGGGGCCTGGGCTCTTGGCTGTGAATTTACAGCCACCTCCATCCTCCCTTTGGGGCTGGAGGGGAGCCCCCAGGCAGGGCTGGGAGCAGCTTCCAGCTCCTCTGGAGCAGGTAACGGCAGGTGGTGGCACGGGAGCACAGGGATAGGAAAAGGAATCACACTTGCAAATCTCAAGTGGATGTTTTCACAGCCCTAAAACAGGGTCAGCTGCCCCCGAGCGATCCCAGAGAAAAACACGGGAAGGGTGACAGGGTAGAGAGGGTCCCTTCCATAGTTGGCTTGAACATCTGCTGGGCCTGGGCAAGGATGGATGGTTTCTTACCTATCTCTGGCCTAAACACAAAACCAAAAAGCAAAACAAACTAAGAAACATATTGAGGGTGATGGAAAATGATCAAAGCTCCTGAGCTTTCTTGCGTAACTGATTTGTGGAAGGTGTTTCATAAACATTTCATAAGAAGGAGAATTATGAAGAAAACATCTCCCAACCTGCCTGCAATTACTGCACAAACTCTTCCTTACCAGTAGGAAGAAGGGGAGAGGAAAAAAAAAAAAAGAAAGAAAGAAAAGTACATCTGTTTTGTAACTGATCTGTGAACTTCTGGCAAACGTTCGGCTCATGAAAACATCCTGCAGACATATTGCAGAGCAGAAAAAAGGCAGGAAGTTGGAAAGATTCACCTCAGAAGGTCTGATGGCACCACGGGAAGGTGATAACCTTCACAAAGATGTTTCAGTTGGTGGACTGATGGTCAGATCCCACTGGGTGGGCAGAACTCTCTGTATAAACCCAGTTTAGGTTCACTGGTAATCTCAGCTGGGTTTCCTCCTCTATCAGGCACCAAAAGCACAGAATCACGGAATCAACCAAGTTGGAAAAGACCTCTGAGATCATCCAGTCCAACCTTGGACCCAGCACCACCTTGTCACCCAGACCATGGCACTGAGGCCACATCTAGTGTCTTCTTCAACACCTCCAGGGACAGCGACTCCACCACCTCCCCAGGCAGCCCATTCCAATGTCTGATCACTTAAATTCCAATGTCTGATCACTTAAACTCCCATTTCTGACCACTTCTGTAAAGAACTTCTCCCTAAGAAGCTGAGTGCAGCCCCAAAATGCAGCACCTCCTCGTGAGGATGAGCTTTGCTGTAACGCAGGCACGGCTCCATCGCCCTCCTCGCCACGGTGGGAGCCACTGACCCAGCCCCCAGAGCCTCCAGTGCTCTCCCAAAATCCAGCTCAGGGGTGTCCATGCCCTGGCAGAGTGAGGCCCTTACAGCCATGCCAGCTGAGCTCCTCCAGCAGCAGTTATTAGCCAGGAACTGCGGCCGTGAGTGCGAGATTGGAGACAACCCTATTTGTTGTGCTGTTTCTGTTTAGGCAGTAACCTCTTTGAAACACATTTATCTGCCTCTGTATCTGGCTTATCTCACAGTCAGCAACTCACAGCTGTTTAAGAGCTTGAGTTACTCACATCCCTCCCTCCAGAGGGAAGGGATGGTGCGGAGGGAAGAGGATCAGGTGCACACAGAGGGTCTGAACCACCTGCCCCTTGCTGAAAAGCAACAGCGCGGCTCTTCCGGGGCTGAGTCACCCCAAAAACGCCCTTCAACACATCAGCACCGCCTGGAGCTGCCCCAAAACCATTCGCCTGAAGCCAAGGGAGGAAGTTTTACCCTGGAAACAGGTCTCAGAGCTGGCTGTGAGGCTGCTGCAGCTCGCTGAGCCTTCCCACCTTCCGATGGCGTAAGCGCGCTGCAGCGAATTAACCTGCACAC